TGGTGTTTTTTGAAACACTTAAAGTAGGAAGAAAAAAAAAAAAAAAACCCCAAGAAAACAAAGACCTATTTTTGGTTAACTCATTTTTTTTTTTTAAATAGAAGGAAAACTTTTTTTTAAAGGAAAAAAAAAAAAGATAAGTGTATTCCTTAAGTATGAGATTAGACCATAAAGTCCCTGACTCCCAACCCTCTAGGGAACCCACCCCCCAAAGTTTAGTTAATTAGATGAAGAAGATAGAATTTGTGGTGTTTTCCTAGAAGACCGGAGTCGTGTCCCTGTGGATTTGGGAAAGGGCACTCTGCCCCTTCTCCCAAATGCTGGGCCTGTGCCAGAGGTCCTCGAAACTCCCACACAGTGCCCCCTCTGTCCCTGCCTTGGCCTCTCAGCAGCCCCCTCATCCTGGAAACCCCCCTCCCACGGGAAGAGTGGTCTGGGGTAGGAGCCGGGTGAGGAGCCACCTGGCCTGACTTGACCTGACTTCCGTCACACTGTACTCATTTTGACTAAATAAAAGTCCTGTTGCCAAAGTGAACCTTGGGTTTTTTGGTGGCTCTGTCAGGCCCTGGGCAGGGGTGGCAGTGCTGGGATTAGGGCGGCCACTGGTGGGCCAGGGTCAGAGTCCAGAGTAATGGCAGCCCCCTGTGTATCACTTACAGGCACCATACATCCTGGGCCCCCACACGGAGGGAGGTTCCCTGGGTCCCCGCACCCTTTCTGGGGGGTAGACTGTCGAGTTATCGTCACGTCATTTTACAGACGGTGAAACTGAGAAAGGATAAGAGAAATGAAGGAAATGTTGAAACTCTCACACAGCCAGTTATGGCAGGACCAGAATTTGTGTCCAGACCAGGCCACCGGGTTGCAGGGTCTGTATTCCGATCACTGCTCTATACCTCCTTAGCTGGCAGTGAGGAATCTGAGACCAGTCCCTCCCATACTGAGCCAGGTACTTCTCATGCGTGTTTCCCAGGAAGGACTATTTTTGTCTCCAATCTACAGTTGAGGAATGGGATCTGGCTGAGTGACTCTTTCCAGGGCATACAGCCGTAGCTCCTGGCCAGGCCTCTCCATTACTCCCCGTACACTCCTCAGCCCAGGCTCCTGAAGCCAGGTGTCTGGAGCTGCCAAAGCTTAGGATAGGCCAAGAAACTTGGCTTAAAGGTGGTTGTGCTGACAAAGAGCTGGAGGTCTCAGTGGGCCTCAAGCCTAGTAAAAGGCAATGGTGCAAAGCAACTGCTTAGAATGTCAGTGTTGCCTCTACTGCGGAAATGGAGAGTCAAGGCTCACCCTGGGAAGCTCTGCAGGTCTAGAGGGCTGGGCTCTGTATCCAGAGGCACATTTTGTGAGGAGCAAACCAGGACTGTGGTTTGCAAGCTGGGCTTCTCCAGCTGTGGGGAGGGGTATGGGGGTAAACCTCTCTGCAGGGGGATTGCCCACGCTCAATAAGAGCAGCTCCACTTTTATCTAATATATTAGGCTCTTCATGACATTTCATTTGAAAACAGGGTTCTGGGGGCACCTGGGTGGCTCAGTCAGTTAAGCGTCCAACTCTTGATTTTGGCTCAGGTCATGACTTCAGGGTCGTGAGAGAGAAAACAGTGTTCTGCTCCTAAAAGAACATTTGAAAGCCCTGGCCTGGCCCTTCTGGAAGAGGCCTGCAGGTCAGGCCAGAAACAGTGATGGTGTGTGGATGCTGAACTGAGAAAGAGAAGCCTGAGGCCGCCACAGTACCTGCCTTGAGTCTCCGGGGAAGTGGTTGCCTTGCCCTGATTTTCCCAGAGAAAAGAGCCAAGCCCAAATATCAATAGAATACCTCACCTTTCTTTACACAGAACTTTGCAACACAGGAATTCTTCAACACCACCAGCCATCCGAGGGCTGCCTGGGAAGGTCATGGGTTTGTCATCTGGTCAAGCAGATCCTGCAAGGGATGGGAGGAGACCAGGTGAACCCCCAGTGACCCTGTCCCCTCCAAGAGTCTAAGAGGCTAGTACCTTCCCCAGGGGGGCATCCAGAAACATTTAGGAACCACCTTGTATGGCCCATGTAGACGTATGCAAATTGCATACAAATTACATGCAAATATAGGCAGGGCCTGTTCTAACAAGGCTGGACCAAGCTAAGGTAAAGGGAAGCAGGGTTCTAATTAGGAAGATTAGCAGAAATAGGCGTCAAAGCCGGGGGAGGGGGGGTGCCTGGCTGGAATCTGGCTCCCTATCTCCAATAGTCCCGTGGCCTCGGGCAGAAGACACCGGCCCCCATACACACACAGTCTTGGGGCAGAAAGCAGCCACTGCCTGGGCTTGCTACCGGCTCCAATTGTCTAATGCTTGGTCACAGGCCACCCCACAACTTAGTGGCTTGATCTACCATCTATTTTGGTCAGACATTTGCAGTCTGGGTGGGGCTCAGCAGGACAGTTGTCCGCTTTCCGGGGCAGTGGTGGCCTCAGCTTGAAGCCTGGGGCTGGAATCATCTGAGGGCTCGCTGGCTCTCACGTCCGGTGGCTGATGCTGGCTGTTGGCGCCCACACCTCCACGTGGCCTCTCCAAGTGGCCTGGGCTTCCTCAAAGCATGGTGGCTGGGGTCTAAGGACAGGTGACTAGAGAGAGCCAGGCAGAAACTGCATCACCATTTCGAATCTAACCAAGGACATTGTGTGGTGTCACTTCCGCCATGTTCCGTTCATTAGAAGCAAGTCACCACGGCCAGCCCTATTCCAGGGGAGGGGAAGCAGGTTCCACTTTCTGATGGGAGTAGAGTCAACGTTATGGACATGTTCTTTTTTTTTTTTATTCTTATGTTAATCCCCATACATTACATCATTAGTTTTAGATGAAGTGTTCCATGATGGACATGTTCTCAAACTATCACAGGACCACTTCGGGGGGCAGGTGGAGAACACGTGGGAGCTGGGGGCTGGGTGAGCAAGAAGCTCCCCCCAGGAGGACCCAGGCAGAAGGGGCTGCTGCTGGGGCTGCAGGAGGACATGGGTGCTCCCAACTCCTACACAGGTCCTGTTTATGGGTCACATCCCTATTATCGGTGAAGAGGGATCCTGGTGTTCGGTCCTGAGGCCCCTGTGAACACCACAGCCTGCTCCCTCTCCTGCAAGGAGGCTGGTGCAGGCCTGAGACAGATGCAGGGCAGGAGCTGCTCAAGGGCACAGGGAAGTTAGAGGCAGGGCCATGGCTAGCACCCAGGATGGCCACACCCTGCCTGGAGCCCCTTCCACTCAACCCAGTCAGACCCTCAAAACTGGACTGTGCTCCAGACCCTAGAGGGAAGGGAGAGGGAGAAGGGTGGCAGGGGAGGGAGTCACCTTGCTCAGGACAGGGAAAGGGAGATCCAGACCAGAAGCAGGAAGTGAAGGAGTGAGGACAACCAGAGATGGTCCAGGCCAAGGTCACGGAGGGGGAGATCTAGACCCATGCCCCTCTCAAACAGCTTCCTAGGGTCTGATTTGGGAACTCTGTTGCTTCCCCGGCCATCCTGAGGCCACCTGGGGAAGGAAAGGGGGGGGGGAGAGTAGAGGGGGAGAGAAGGCCCAAGGGAGCCAGATTGACCAGGGAGGGAAAGACCTTGCTCCTCGGGCTCAAGAGGGATGTACCCTGGACTTGGATCTCTCAAGGACATAGATGGTCACCCTGTACCATGTGCCCACTGCCACACTGCAGCAGGGTCTGGCCCTGGCCGTCACTCCAAAATACCCACAGCCTGGGGCTCCTTCTCCCCTGAATGCCTATCATGTCCTGTGCTGCGCAGGTCCCTGCATTTACTTCCTTGCCTCATGATCTGGCTCCCCACAATAGAATCTGTATCCCCAAGACCCACTCAGGAACTGTTGAAGGCAGGCACGCAGGAACAGGACATCTAACTGGAATGCTGGGGACACTGTCACGAAGCTACAAAGAACAAACTCTTTGGTCCCATCCCTGGCTAGTATGGTACCATCTTGGTTAAACGACAGGGGAATCTTGTGCCTGGAAGCTTGGGGTCATCTTTCCCGTGCCTAAGCCCCCCAGTTACTGGGGCTGAGGCTAGGATAGGCAGAACTGGAGCCCCAGGAGAGTGAGTGATTTCTCTGCCATGCTCTGTTCGGGTGCCACTTTATGGAGGAGCTTCTCTAACTCCAGCTGGTGGCTCACCGGCCAGAAACTCTCAGCCTTTTGCCACCTGGGAGCTAGCCCAGAGCTCATGCTCTGTTGTTGAGAATGATGAGCTCTGTCTCCTAGTGAGAAGCATGGCATCCCCTGGAGCTGAGGCGGTGGTCTGGCCCAGGTGGCGTTTGATGGATGTGGTCTGACCCCTGGGCTCAGCCATTTCTAGTCATGTGACTATGAGGAGTTGACTTAACTTCTTTAGGCCTCAGTTTTCTCATCTGTAAAATTGGGATAATATGCTCCTACCTCAAAGGGTTGTTGACTCAGCTGGCTTCTTTACAGAAACTGATAAGCTAAACCTAAAATTCATACGGAAATATAAGGAACAAAGAACAGAGTTGGAAGACTCACTTCCTGATTTCAAAGCTTACTACAAAGCTACAGTAATGAACAGAGTGGGCTACTAACATAAGGATAGACGAATAGACCAACGGGACAGAATTGAGAACCCAACCCAGGAATAAACCCTCACATATAAATTGAACTTTGGGGGCGCCTGGGTGGCTCAGTTGGCTAAGCGACTGCCTTCGGCTCAGGTCATGGTCCCGGGGTCCTGGGATCGAGTCCCGCATCAGGCTCCCTGCTCTGCGGGGAGCCTGCTTCTCCCTCTCCCACTCCCCCTGCTTGTGTTCCCTCTCTCGCTGTCTGTCAAATAAATAAAAATAAAATCTTAAAAAAAAAAAGAGGGCACCTGGGTGGCTCAGTCGGGTAAGCGTCTGTCTTCAGCTCAGGTCATGATCCCAGGGTCCTGGGATCAAGCTCCGCATCGGGCTCCCTGCTCTCCCTCTCCCTCTGCAGCCTCTCTGCCTACTTTTGCTCTCTCTCTGTCAAATAAATAAATAAAATCTTAAAAAAATATAAAAATAAGGGCGCCTGGGTGGCTCAGTCAGTTGGGTGACTGCCTTCAGCTCAGGTCATGATCCCAGGGTCCTGGGATCGAGCCCTGCATCGGGCTCCCTGCTCGGCCGGAAGCCTGCTTCTCCCTCTCCCACTCCCCCTGCTTGTGTTCCCTCTCTCGCTGTGTGTCTCTCTGTCAAATAAATAAATAAAATCTTTAAAAATAAATAAATAAATAAATAAATAAATAAATTGAACTTTGGCAAGGATATCAAAACCATTCATGGGGAAGAAGAGACTTTTCAACAGATGGCACTGGGACAAGTGGATATTCACATGAAGAAGAATGAATTTGGACCCCTTCCTCACACCACGTAAAAACAATTAAAAGGGAGCAAAAACCTAAATGTAAAAGCTAGCACATAGAAGAAAACATAGATGTACAGATTTGTAACCTTGGATTAGGCAAAAACTGACATAATGCCACAGGTACAATCCAAGAAAAGAAAAAATACCACCAAAAACATCCAAAAAAAAAAACCATATCACAATTAAGAACTTTGTGCTTCGAATGACACCGTCAAGAAAGTACCAAGACAAGCACAGGATGGGAGAAAATACTTGCACGTCGTATCTCTGATAAAGGATTTGTATCTAGAATATACGAAGAACTCATAACGCAATAAAAATAACTCAATGATGAAAAGACAAGTAACCCAATTTAAAAATGGGCAAAGGTGGGGCGCCTGGCCGGCTTAGTTAGTAGAGCAATCAGTTCTTGACCTCGGGGTCGTGAGTTTGAGCCCCACGTTGGGTGTAGAGATTACTTAATATTTAAAAAAAACCTAAATAAAAAAATGGGCAAGGGATCTGAATACACATTTCTGCAAAGAAGATATGCAAGTGCCCAACAGCACATTAAATAAATAAAAAGCAAAACCCCAATGCGATACCACTCTGTTCCCACGAGGATAGCCAGAATAAAAAAGTCACATACTTGGGGTGCCTGGGGGGCTCCCCGCATCGGGCCCTGCCCTGCAGAGAGTCTGCTTCTCCCTCTGCCTGCCACTGCTTGTGCTCTCTCTGTCAAATAAATAAATAGAATCTTTAAAAAAAGAAAAAGTCACATACTATCAAGTACCGTCGAGGATGTGGCAAACTCCAAACGCTCACACGCCGCCAGTGGGAATATAAAACGGTGCGGCTGTTGTGAAAAGCCCATTCCTCAAAAGACTGGACATAGAGCTACTAGATGACCCAGCGTTTCCACTCCTCAGTGTTTAGTCAAGAAAAATGAAAGCACACAAGTTTATACAAAAATTGTATGTCGATGTTCATAGCTACAAGATCCATGATAGATAAAAAGTGGAAATAAATGTCCACCAGGTGATGAATGGATAAACAAAATGTGGTATATCCATACGATAGGATATTATTTAGCAGTAAAATGGACTGGAAAACTTGATGCTAAGTGAAAGAAGCCAGTCACAAAAGACCACATATCGTATGGTTCCATTTGTATGAAATGCCCAGAAGAGGCAAATCTATAGAGATCAAGAAGAGATAAGTGGTTGCCTAGGGCTGGGGGTTAGGGAAAAATGGGGAGTGAGTGCTAACGGGCACAGGGTTTCTTTTTGGGGTGATGAGAATGTTTTAAATTTGGTTGTGATGATGGTTGCACAACCCTGTGAATATCCTAAGAACTACTAAATTGCCCACTGTAATGGGTGAGCTGTATGGCATATGAATGACCTTTTTATAAACTGTCACTAAAAAAAAAAAAAAAAATAGGTGGGGGCGCCTGGGTGGCTCAGTCCCTTGAGCGTCTGACTCTTGGTTTTGGCTCAGGTCATGATCTCAGGCTCCTGAGATGGAGCCCCAGGTGGGACTCTGCACTCAGCGGGGAGTCTGCAGGAAACTCTCTCTCCCTCTCCCTTTGCCACTCCCCCGGCACTCTCTCTCTCTCTCTCTCTCTCTCAAATAAATAAATCTTTTAAAAAATAATACAAAAATGGGCACCTGGGTGGCTCAGTCGGTCGGGCGGCTGCCTTCAGCTCAGGTCATGGTCCCAGGGTGCTGGGACCGAGCCCCAGGTTGGGCTCCCTGCTCAGCGGGGAGCCTGCTTCTCCTTCTCCCTTTGCCTGCCGCTCGCCCTGCTTGTGCTCTCTCTAGGTCAAATAAATAAGCAAAATCTTAAAAAAAAATTTTAATAAAAATTATAAAATTTAAAAAGATTTTTTAAAAAGTAGCTGAAAGGACTCCATGAGTTTGTAATAAGGGAAGCGTGCAGTTTGTGTTCAAGTGATCCCATTGTTACAGGAAGAGAGATTGGGGTGGGCAGGGCAAGGTGACCCCAAGTGGAAGGTGAAGAGTGGGATAAAGAAGAGCGCAAGCTTGAAGGGACCTCCGCACCTGGCCTGGCTTCCCTGCAGTCGAGGGAGTCTCTGGACGCAGCAGCCCTGCCTGGAGGCTCTGCTCTCCCAGGAGGAGGGCTGTGACCGGAGGGTTTTGCTGCCACCCTGTGGAATTAGTGAGGATTACAGCTATGGGGACTACAGTTGGATGGAAGCTAGCAGCTCATAAGTGCTCAGCCCCGTGCAAGGGAGGCGGACCAGGCCCTCAGTGAACTGACTGCCCAGGGGTGAATAAAAGTACTGCTATCTATCCAAATGCTCACGTGGGTGGTAACAGCAACAAGCTGTGGAAACAGAAGAAAACGCAGTTCCTAGGCGTCCAGGATTAAGGAAGTCTTCGAAGAGGAATGATGGCTGGGGAAAGGGCTCTGAGGCTGAAGGCACAGCGGAGCAAAGAAGCGAAAGGGCGGGCTGCGACCTCTGAGCAGCCAGGAAGCTATCATCTGCTGCATGGGGCTTGGCACTTAGTAGATGCCCAAGAAATAGATGAATGAATGGTTACTAGATTTCCAGCACCTGCTTTTTTGCCCAGTTGACATGTCTGAGGAAAGCTTGGTGTGGCCTTCCGGGTGGAAAGGGAACCAGCAAGAGGGTCAAATGGCCAGGGCCTTCCTCAGGGAAGGGAAAGAGCCTCTGTGGAGTCCTGAGTGATAACGATGAGGCCTCTGTTACTAATTCTGGTGGCCTTTTGTGGAATGCCTCCCTGTTACCTCATCTGAGTCTTCTCAAAGCCTTGTGGGGGGCAGGGATGGACTCTCTGTCACCCTCTCACTTAACAGATGGAAACTGAGGCCCAGAGAAGTGAGGTGGTGGAGCTGGGGCTGGAACATTGGCCTCCTTGTTCTAAGCCCATGCTGGCTACTGACTTGCTATCTGGGTGTGGAGGAGAAAGGACAGGGGAATCTCATGGTGGGGAGAAGAGGGAATGGTCTAAACTGGCTGAGATGAAGATTTTCTTCCTGCATATTGAGGAGAGACCCAGGGATGTCAGACCCTGGAGTAGGGAGGGCGGTTGAGGAAGCTGGGCATGTCCTAAAATGCAGGTTAGATCAGGAACCTGCCATCGCTTCCCATTGCTCCCAGGGCAGTACGACACCTTTGGCCTGGCGTTCAAGGCCCCCCTCACGGGAGACAGTGTAATCCAGCGGTTCAGAGCACAGGCTTGGGTTTGTAATCCCCACTCAGCTGCTGTCCAGCTGGGTGACCTTCTGGGACCATTTCCTCCTCTAGAAACCAGGGGGATAAGGACAGCACCTACCTTGCAGGTTGTGAGCAGTAAACAAGTCAGTCATGTAAAGCACTCAGGACCATGCTTGCTCTTATTATTATTATTATTCAGAACAGAGCCTAATTCTTGGCTCCTTTTGTGGACTCCAATCCTTCAAGTCGGGCTCCTGGCTTCTCCAGCATGTGCCAGGCACAACACTGCCTCCAGGCCTTTCTGCAAGAAGTTCCTTCAGCCTGGAATGATCCCACTCCACTGGTTCTTGTTCACTGCCTCCTCCCGATGTCCTCCCTGGTTCTCTCCGGTTAGAACTACTTCTGCTTCTGCCCTTCCTCTGCACCTTGCTTAACCCTCTCATACAGAACTACTTCCTTCCGCAGCAAATCTGCACACCGTGTCTACCTGTCATCCCTGCTTGGGGAACTTAGGAAGTGAGTTTCCTAAGGACGAGCACGGTATCTTACCTCTTTGTGAGCCAGCCAGAGCGGAGAGAAGCTCTAAACACTCGCGTGTTTGTGGAAAGCAAGCCAGAGAGCAGGAAAGCAAAGCCCAAGGGAAGGGGTGTGGGGTGGAGAAAGGAGAGAGAGAGGGGAAAGGTGAACAGGACGTGAAGCCAAGAGGGACTCTGGGAAAGGTGGCCAGGGCTGCTTTCTCTTGAAGACTCTGGGGAGGAGAATGGAGACTGGGTGATCTGCAGCTCTCCCGGGGCTCTGATGTTCATTCCTTGAGCCACGGCACTGCAACAGAAAGCTCACAGTGGCTTTGGCCTGGCTAGTTCGCCCCTCTGAAGCTCCACTGCCCCATCTGTAACAGATAATAATGGTACTTAATCCAACTGGGTTGTTGTGAGGATCAGACGAGAAAAATCCCAGGAAAATCCCTGGCACCCGGGCCATAGTAAGTACTCAATAAATGCTATGTATAAGGATGGTGATGGCTTGGTGGTTCTGAGAATTCCAGACATGTCCGAATAAAAGGCTGCTTGCTGCTGGGGAGGGGAGATGCCTTTTGTCCCAGAGCCCTGCCCAGTGGCCACACAGAGGTCACACGGTGTTTTCTGCGGGGACTTCCCACCCGCCCCTGCAACAAGGAACGCAATAAAGCCTCCTGGTTGCTTGATTAAAGGAAGTGGATACACAATTAATTTCAATTTTAGGCCTAACCCTCCCAGCCTTTCAAAAAGAACTGCACACCCTATTCCAATTTACACACTGAAACAATATGGAATTTTCCAGCGGGTTCTGAAGCCTTTGAAGTGACCAGACCAGACTATTGATTTATTTCCAACTAACCTCTCTCTTTGAACCCAGAGGGGTCAAGGTTAATTATACAATAAAACACCCTGTGCCCAGCTGCCCCCTGTGAGGGCGCAGGGAGCCCCCAGACCTTTCCAAGCCGGCAAGCGGTGGATCGTATTTCTGATTCCCTCTCTGCATTCATTTCCTTCATCAGGACCCATTAAGGAGAAGAAAAAAAACCCTCAACCCCCTCATTTCCTCCCTGAGAGATAAATTTTAATTTGCTGGAAACCAACAAAGGGGATCTAAACCATGTTTCCAGGCTGCACCCTGCAGTCGAAAACTCTGGCTGGGAGCACAGCACCTATTCTGGGCTGAGAACCGGGGTGGGGGAGGCAGAGGGAAGCGAAGGGGTGCACGCCACCCCCTAGTCTGCCTCCCCCCCACAGGGCGAAGGGAGCCCCCCAGAGGGCCTGACTCTGTGGATGCTTCCAGCAGGACCAGGGGGCTGAAGGGGGTTAACCCACTGGCTGCAGCTTCTCCTGAATACACGCAGTTGGCCTTCAACAGCTTCACCAGGTGGGCACCACCGGTCCCTGTGCCCATAGGTGAAATGGGCTCGGGACCCGGGCACAATGGGTTCCTGTTGTCACAGGTAGGCAGCGGCGGGGCCACGACCGGAACCCAAACTTGCATTCTCCTTGTAAAAGAATGGATTCTCTTCCCCTGCATCTTCCCACCCCATGGAAACAACATCATGTTAACGTTCTTTTTATTTCCATCATTAAAAGAAAAAAAAAAAAGATTCAAAGCTATTATCTAATGCAAAGTCCACGATCCAGCATCCCCAGGTGTCCAACAATGTCCACCTTAGCTGTGTTTCCCAGATCCAGGATCCAACCAAGACTCATGCCTTCTCTGGGCTGTCATGTCTCTTTACTCTCTGCGGTTCCAGAACAAACCCAGCCTTCTCTGTTTTTCCTGACACATTTTTTAAAAAAGATTTTTATATATTTATTTGAGAGAGAGAGCACAGAGGGAGAGAGAGGGAGAGGGAGAAGCAGGCTCCCCGCTGAGCAGAGCACCTGATGCGGGACTCAATTCCAGGACCCCAAGATCATGACCTGAACTGAAGACAGATGCTTAACTGACTGAGCCACCCAGGCACCCCGACACTGACATTTCTGAAGGGTCAAAGTCAGCTGTCCTGCAGAGTGACCCCCAAGGTGGATTTGTCTCATGTTTCCTCCTGACTAGAGAATCAGATAATAATTTTTGCTACGAACAATTCATATGTGATGCTGTATTCCTTTTAGGGCATCACATCTGGAGCCCCATGATGCCAACTGTTTTTGGTGAGGGACCCAGGATTTTCAGCTGATGTTTGTTCTCAGCCTCCTAGAGGCTTCTCGGCATGGAGGCGCCTTTAGCATTGGCCACCAGATGAGCATGCTCTCTGGGACTCTTTCAACCCATAGACAACAACCTAGAACCTTGGGAGGAGATCCACCAAACACAGCCTAAGACGCATTTTCCCAATTCTTCTCGCTGGAACATCCCTATGTTTGCACCAGCGCTCCCCAGCCACATCTCTACCTCCATGAGGCCTTCCTAATTCTCAGACAGAATCAATGCTCCTTCCTCTCTGCTTCCACAACCCTTTGTTTCTGGCGCCTTGAGTGATTTATCTCAAGGTAGTAAAGGTCACTGTGGAGCTCTTACTGCCCCCTATACGCCCAGGCTCCACCATAGAAGGTTCTCCATGAATAATGCCAGTCTGCCTTGTGGGTGATCTCAGTTTTACATTTGAAAGAAAAGCCCAACATCCAATAATGAATCAAAAAGCTGTTTGAGTCTTTGCTGAACAGCCCCAAAGAGGAGCTGGAGGATGAATTAGATTGCGTGTCATTCACCAGAGTGCAAAAGAGCCTCTCTGCCCATCTTTCTCCCTATCATCTCATGGCTCCTCCTTCACCTCCAAACCTCTCTGCTTTCTCTCCTTTTTGCCCAAATCCCTCCTCTTTTGGGATCAATTTAGTTCTTTTCAAGTATAAGAAAAACATACTAATTTAGGTCAAACAAGCAATACCAGAAGCATTCTCCTTGTTTAAAGCACAAAAAAATGTTGCATAAGTCCCCTCTCAACTGCCCCAAGCCCAGTGCCCTACTAGGGGCAACACCATTATCAGCTTTGGGCTCCTTCCAGGCCTTTTTCTATGGGATACAGACTTCCATATATAGATATGCTAAATAATGTTTCCAATTTCCAGTGCTGCACCGAACCTTCCACTGTCTCCCTGTGCTCATCAGCATGTGTTTCTGTAGAGTAGAAATGAGGGGATTTGCTGGGTCTGGGGCATGTGCATTGTGGGTCTGATGGAGCCCGCCTAGTGATCCCCACTAAGACCCTGTGCATCCTCACTCTCCACCAGTGGTCTGTGATAGGACCAGGACTGCTTTTCTTCCATGAGCAGCTTCCTTCCCTCCCAAGGCTGCTCTGCGGACCCTGGTGCAAGGGTGGTTTAACATCTGTAAATCAATCAAGGTAATACACCGCACTGACAAAAGGAAGGATAAAAATCAGAGGATCATCTCAGCAGATGCAGACAAAGCATTTGACAAAATTCAACGTCCTCTTACAATAAAAACTCTCAACAAAGTGGGAATAGAGGGAATGTGCCTAGACACAGTAAGGGCCATACAAGACAAACCCACAGCTAACATCATACTCAATGGTGAAAAGCTGAAATCTTTTCCTCAAAGATCAGGAACAAGACAAGGATGCCCACTCTTGCCACTTTTATTCAACATAGTATCAGAAGTGCTAACCACAGCAATTTGGCAAGAAAAATAAAAGGCATCCAAATTGGAAAGGAAGAAGTAAAACTGTCACTGTTTACAGATGACATAATACAATATAGAGAAAACCCCAAAGACTCCACTAAAAACCGTTCAAACTAATAAATGAATTCAGTAAAGTTGCAGGATACAAAATCAAAATACAGAAATCTAAGATCCTTCTATACACTAATTATGAACTATTAGAAAGAGAAACTAAGAAAACAATCCCATTTACAATTACATCAAAAAGACTTAAATACCTAGGAATAAACTTAACCAAGGAGATGAAAGACCTGTGTTCTGAAAGCTATAAGACACTGATGAAAGAAATTGAAGAAGATACAAATAAATGGAAAAATATTCTGTGCTCAGGGATCCAAAGAATTAATATTGTTAAAATGTCCCAAAGCAACCTATAGATTCAATGCAATCCCTATCAAAATTCCAAGGGAATTTTTCAGAACTAAAATAATTCTAAAATTTGGGGCACCTAGGTGGCTCAGTCGTTAAGTGTCTGCCTTTGGCTCGGGTCATGATCCCAGGGTCCTGGGATCGAGCCCCGCATCGGGCTCCCTGCTCAGTGGGAAGCCTGCTTCTCCCTCTCCCACTCCCCCTGCTTGTGTTCCCTCTCTCACTGTGTCTCTCTCTGTCAAATAAATAAATAAAATCTTAAAAAAAAAAATAATTCTAAAATTTGTTTGGAACCACAAAAGATCCTGAGTAGCCAAAGCAATCTTGAGAAAGAAGAACAAAGCTGGAGGTAAGGAAATCATGCTCCCTGATTTCAAACTATACTACAAAGCTACAGTAACGAAAACAGTCTGGTTTGACATAAAAATAGATGCATGGATCAATGGAATACCACTGAGAACCCAGAATTAAACCCACACACATATGGCCAATTAATTTATGACAAAGGAGCCAAAAACATACAATAGAGAAAGGACAGTCTCCTTAATAAATGGTGTTGGGAAACCTGGATGGTCACATGCAAAAGAACGAAAATAGTCCACTATTTTAAACATACACAAAAATTAACTCAAAATGGATTAAAGATTTTTAAAAAAGATGGATTAAAGATTTGAATGTAAGACCTGAAACCATACAATTTCTGGAAGAAAAGATAGGTAGTAAGCTCCTTGACATTAGTCTTGGTAACATTTTTGTGGATCTGACTTCAAAAGCAAGGGAAACAAAAGCAGAAATAAACGAATGGGACTAAATCAGACTAAAAAGCTTCCACAAAGTGAAAGAAACCATCATCACAACAAAAAGACAACCTAATGCATGGGACAAGATTTTTTTCAAATCATATATCTGATAAGGGATTAAGATCTAAAATATTTAAAGAACTCATACAACTCAACAACAAAACACCAAACAACCCAATTGAAATGGGCAGAGGATCTGAATAGACATTTTTCCAAAGAAGACATACACATGGCCAACAGGCACACAGAAAGATGCTGATTATTAGGGAAAGATCACTAATTATTAGGGAAATGCCATTCAAAACCGTAATGAGATATCACCTCACACTGGTTAGAATGGCTATTACCAAAAAGACAAGAAACAACAAGTGTAGGAGAAGATATAGAGAAAACAGAACCCTCATGCATTGGTGGTGGGAACGTGAACTGGGGCAGCCACTGTGGAAAACAGTATGGAGATTCCTTAAAAAAAAAAAAAAAAGAATAGAACTACCATGTGAGGGGCGCCTGGGTG